TCTCTGCCCCTCGCCCGTTCATGCTCTGTCTCTCTCTGTCCAAAAAATAAATAAACGTTGAAAAAAAAAAAAAAAAGAAGAGACCTCTAAATTCCTTTCAACTTTAAGATTCAGCTACTTGATCAGTGATCTCCAGTTTCTCTACTACCGCCAGTTCACAGCAGCATCCCATTTGTGGTAACAAAATAGAAGCAAATTGCCTAGGGGTGACTGCACGTGGTCTGAGGAAGTAACTTAGGCAAAGGTTGTTACAGAGCAAATCCCTCCTCTGTCCAAACAATGAGGCCACAGTCCTAGGCATCTCGTTGGCAGTTCCCCAACCTCCCGCCTCCGAGATGGTGCTATCTGCTAAGATATCCAATGACATTTTCTCAAGTGTTGCTCTATTGTAGATCAGCTTAGGCAAGTGAACCAAACCTCAAAGGTCATTTGGGGAGGCTATCTAGAAGAATTATGTAGGATTCCCTTTACTGTCCACATTTAGCCACTCATTTGATTCAAGATATTAGGTAATTCTTACAATTTCTTTTTCCTTTCTTAATTACCATGCACAATCATCCTTGCCTTAAGGTTCTGTTCTTTTTCATCTTCAAGATACTAAGAACTTCCAAGGCAGAATACAGTAGTTTTCTGTCTAGTCCTTATTTCCTGAGGTGGATTTTGTCTCCCTGACATTAAATTGCATTCCACAGGACAAAATAGCTTGCCGTTCTACCCAGAAAGAGGAAAACCCAATTTTCCCAGTCATCATATTTTTAAGGATAGCATTGTCTCTCGTCCTTTGGCTTCTAGTCACAGAGTTGGAACCTCCGCTTTTGCCACCACATGACTGCACTTGAATTTCTTTCAGCTAAAACTTAGTATTATCTGTCTCAATGCACACGATATTTTAAAATTTTAATTAAGCTTGATTTATTTACTTTTTAGGTAAATCGCCCTCTGAGTCACTGGTTCCCAAGAGGGTTGGTCTTATTCACATATCCCAAGTCATCTCAGAAGTTGATGGTAACAGAATGACTTTGAGCCAAGAAGGGGCACAAGATTCCTTCCCCCTTCAGCAGAAGATATTGGTCTGCTCTTTGCTGCTCTTGACCAGGCAGCTGAAAATCAAAGAGGTCACTCTGGGGAAGGTGAGTTGAGAATCTGCTTTGCAGAGCAGATATTGTCCAAAAGGCCTATTATGCTCCAGCTGATATGAATTAAAAATGGATTTTTAACAATAAGAATAAAAATTGGTACCATATAAAAGGCAACTGGCTTTATTTCCCTTGGGTTGTGGTTGAGAATTTCCCATTAATTTCCTCCTCTCCATTTCTTCCTCTCCCTAAGAAATATATAGAGCTCCTCTCCTGCATTACAGTACAGTCTGTTGGCAATGTCTACAGTGTGCCTCTTCGAGGATTTGATTGAAAAGAGGGAACATTAGGGTATTCAGATAACCTACAAATGAGAACTCACAATTTAAAAAAAAAAAAAAAAGATTATAAAGTTACAAAAGATAGAACTTTTAAACAACTTTTGTTCTTCCTTATTCCTCCCAGTTACATGAAGCCTATAGTAACGTCTGTCGCAAACAGCAGGTGGCAGCTGTGGACCAGTCAGAGTGTTTGTCACTTTCAGGGCTCTTGGAGGCCAGGGGCATTTTAGGATTAAAGAAAAACAAGGAAACCCGCTTCACAAAGGTACAACTAACTGCTTCTTTGTGATAATGCTTTTAATTGTCATGTTTTGGAGAGATTATCTTTTGCTAAAGTAAAGATTTAAATATGACCACAGTTAGGTAAACAATTTTTTTTGTTAAGTAGATAGAGTTAAAGATCTCTGAGGATGGGGGGCACCTAGTGGCTCAGTTGGTTAAGCATCTGACTTCAGCTCAGGTCATGATCCCACTTCAGCTCAGGTCACGATCTGGTAGTTCGTGATTTCAAGCTCCTTGTCTGAGCTGTACTGACAGCTCACAGCCTGGGGCCTGCTTTGGATCTGTCACTCCCTCTCTGCCCCTCCCCTGCTTGCACTCTGTTTCTCAAAAATAAATAAACATTTTTAAAAATTAAAAAAAAAAAAAGATCTGTGAGGATGGGGCAATGGTATGAATGAAGCATTCTCTGCGGGCCATTGACTTCTTGCCTCTTGTGACAGAAGTTCAACATGGTATAAATGTGTGTAATAAAAACTTGACTTTTGTGAGTTCTCCACCATGAAAAGTCCTTTTCTCTTCTTTCCAGGTGTCTTTGAAGATTGAAGAGAAGGAAGTAGAGCATGCTCTAAAAGACAAAGCTTTAATCGGAAATATCTTAGCTACTGGATTGCCTTAAATTCTTTTCTTTTATACTAATGACGCTACCTGAAAGTATCCAGCTGGCATTTAGATATCTATGGAGTCTTCATTTTAGTACTTTATCCATTCAGTGGCATTCAATGGTAATTTGTGAAAACAATATGACCTTTTTTTAACATGAAACTGATAAATTTTAATCTATGGATTCATGAATATTAGTGCAGAATAATAATTTGGGGTCTTATTTTATGCATTAAAAATTACCAAGTAGACCTTTTTTAATTATATTCACTACCTCCACCTCTTGTGTATCTCTAACCAATATGCTTATATTGCAGTACACAAGATTTATGTTGTGGAATGTGCCTGTATTTACCTCTTAGTTTCTTCAGACATTGGCATATTTTAAAGAACCTTGGGGCTAGAGTAAGAAGAGAGAAAAAGGATGTTGCAGGAAAATAAGCAAGTCCACGTGGAGATCTGGAGATTTGATCAAAGAATTTCTTTCTTTTTGGAGGATATTGTGTTTGTGTTGCAAGTGCTTCCACAGTGACATTTTAAAGACTCATTGAGCTTCTTGGGCACTCCCAAGGCTGTGGGGGTGGTAAAGGGACAGTAACTGTATGGATTGTGAATATATTTATTTTCAAGTTGCATCCTTTGTCTTTTTAAGCATGCACATTTCAAGAGAGCTCAGACTTTCAGAAAACCATGTGAAAATTTCTCCCCAAACTGTCCCACAGTCTTAGCTGCCCTCAGATGAAGCCACTTGTTTCCAGATGCTTTCGTTTGGGGTTGGATTTTCATCTGAGCCTTTTCATCTGAGCCTCAGATTTTTCCAGTCTTATTAGATAAATTAATCCATGTGGCTACTCAAGTCTTCCCTTTGCTTCATTTGGTTTCCAGTGGCATTCAATGGTAATTTGTGATGGGGACACCAGAGGGCACCATTATAACACTGACTACCTTAAAACTGCAGGCTTGGGGCTGGGGTAGTTTTGAGGGAAGGGGGAGAAAACCAGTTTGATCCCTTTGGGAGATTACTATACTTTTATAACTCAAGCAGATGCTTGGAATGCAAACCATGTGCGATGTGAATGGTCTCAGAGCCAGTGACCAAGTCTGTGCTCACTGAGCTCTTTTACCTCTCGGACAGGACTTGAGTTGGGGAACTTGATATTGTACAAATGATCTGTTGGCCAGTGTTTCATTCATGCTGCCCACTGTATCCTTGTAATGTGATCTGGGCCACGGCAGATGGTATGGGATAGAAGAAGGACATGCAGAGAGAGCCCTCTGAAATGAACACTACCCACCGGTGGGTGTGGCAGAGCATTGTCTGTACATGAGAGTCTGAATGTCGTTCTCGCCTTCTCACCTTTACCAGGCTACTCCCTCCCTCTGAGGGTCATCTGTGAGTGGAAAACACAGTTCTGTACCTAGAAGCCTAAGAGTGTCTGGGGCTACAAGGGTTAACAAGCATAATTGCAAAGATTGTCCGAAGGCTGATGGAAAGCAGAGACTGAATGGGATTGAGAACAGATGCGAGGCTTGATTTAAATTACATTTTATTGGATGCTGCAGCCTTAAGAGACGTGACTGCTTTACAGTTTGTTTCCACACTGTGGGCAGCTGCTGTCTGTTCTGTGTCCACAGTAGGATCCTGCCCAAAAAGGAGCGGCCTCCCCACCTCGTTGTGTTTGAGGCTTGGCGCCTTTCTCTTAACTGTAGGGCTTGAGTCAGGAACATGGCTTGACTCGCAGTGGGGCTGCTATGTATCCTCCATGGCTCTGAGCCAAGATTGCATTTGCAGATTCAAAAGGGTGAAATTTCTTTCCCCTCTACCTCTTTTCTCTCCCTTTCCCCTGGTATTTGGAAATAGGGTTTTTTTGTGTACTGGTTTGTTAGTTTCCTTTCCTTCAGTTCTCCCCCCACTGTCAATTTCTAGGTCATTGCTGCTCTTAAGACTTCAGCAATTGGAACAGGGTTGGTTCTGTCAATGATGCGTGAAGCAGACTTAGAGTCCCTGCTTGGCTTCCACTGCCCTTGTGGGAGCAAAAGCTGATGTATGTTTGTCAGTGAAGTCTTAAGTGTAATTCAGACAGCCAGAGAGCAGACTGAGAGGAGGAAGAAAGTGCTTTTCTTACTGGCGTTTCTCACTGAACCTGAGAGCTATGGGAAGGTAGTGGGATTTTTAGAGGGATGGGCCGGACTTGTGGTTACTAGTTTTTGCCAGGATTGTAGCCTGTTTCACATAGAGTAGTGGCAAAGATGCTGACCTACATTCTTCCTCTTGAAGGTGGTGGGGTGTGTGTCTATATCCTGATTTATATTTCTTCACAGAAGCAGATTAAGCTTCCGTAGAGTGTTGATGGGTATTGCCATGGAAAGAACATAGACACAATAAAATTGGTGTGTTTCAACCCCAGAGCTGCCGCTGACATTTCTGGCTCAGTGAAGACTTGCCTGTGGGTAGATAACTAACTGGCAAGAGTGTGTGAGGTCCAAGCTACCCAAAGATCAAAAATATTGGCAGAGCTCTATTTGCTACCCACCCCCCATCCACTGCTCCCTGCCGTTATTAAGTGCCCTTTTAAGATTGACCAATAAGAACTGGGAGGTAGGATTGAGATACTTCTTGAGGATCTTCAAAAATATCTATTGAGAGGTGTTGCCTTGACTACCGAGGGAGACCAAAAGAAAGAGCCAAGATGTTACTTACCTTTGTGTCTGTCCCCAGCACCTAGTACAGCGTTGGGTACCTGGTAGGTATTCAGTAAACAGTCATTGAATGGACGGATAAATGAACCAAGGAAGACACTGCCTTTTCCTCCATCTCGAGGCCAGTTATCAGAAGGTAAACACTGTTGGTGTTTCTGCACGGAGGTGGAGCAGGGCCCTGTAAAAGAAGGGTGCTCCATCTTACAAGATGTGTCTTGACACATTGTGGAGCGTTTATTGGTCTCACAGATGCGGAACCAATCGCTCCCTCTGATGTAGTGGCATTTTGCTTGAGGCAACTTCCACACTGCTCCCAGGAAGCCTCGGGTTTGGGGAGAGGGAGTCCTACCCATGGGCTGGGAAGATGGGCACCTGTCTAGATGTTACCTAGTGTCCCTAGGGATTGGCCGGAAGCTTTGCCTCCATTTGGCAAGGGATCAGGGAGGAACACACCTTTGGTGTCCCACTTTGTAACTTTTGAAGAAAGTGGTGATCTCAGGTTCTTCCTGAAAATCTGAGGTGCCCTCTAAGACATTCCCCTTCATGCTGCAAACAGCACTGGTCTCCCTCTTCTCAGAAGTGCATTCTGTAGGGGGAGAAGGTGTGCCCTCTGGCCTCCCTTGATTTTCAACCCCAGCCCCAAGGCACTGGCAGTAGAAGCTAATTGGGTGCAAGGGGCCTGGGTAGAGGCTGTCTGAAGACTGGGGAAAGGAGAGAGCCAGCTCCTTTTTTAAAAAGCTCTAATTGAGTTCTGAATCAGCCTCCCTCTCTTTGATCCCTCCTCTGTTTCCCACACTGCCTGAAAGAGCTAGATCAGCACTTTATAACAAGGGTGCGCCTGCTCCCCACACCGCCCCCCTCTCCCGACGCGCTCTCCGCTGCCGCCATCCACTGCTTGTCTCCTTCAGTTAAGATAATGAAGATGCTGAGAGATAAAATGTGTATTTAATAAGGGTGGGGGTAGGGAGGCGGAAAGGGGCAGCCAGGGCCTTCCCTAGTTTGGGGCCTAGCCAAGACTCAAGCTGAAAGCAAAGCTGGAGTAAGACTTGGCCCCAGGGTGTGGGGGTTTCTGGGCCTCAATCCAGCTGACTTCACTGCCTGCTGTTTGCCCTAAATTCCCCCACCTCCACCCTCTCACCCCCACACTCCTTTCTTTCCTCTCTCCTTGCTCCCCATGGGGAAAGGGAATCTTGCTTCAACTTTGTTTTCAGCTGGTAACTTGGCCTTTGGTGCGGTGCCCCCAGTCCCCGAGTCAGCTGCAAGGTCGGGCTAGGGCAGCCCCCTCTAGCTAAGGCCTGCAGAAGCCTTGGGTTCGCGGTGGGGGGTGAAAAAAAGCTGGAGTTAATGAAGACCAGCTGCTAGTCTGGGTTCTGCCTGCAGTTAGCTGGAGGCCAGCCTTTGGTGGTGGTTGAAGGTACTGGGGTGCATGACCTCCGTCCCTGGGCACAGGGATATCCTGTGGCAGCTGAGGCTTGCGCTCCTCTCTGGGCTCGGTTTTATCCTTAGTTTGTAAGAGAGGAGTGCGTTTCGCTCTTGCCCTACTCCTCCCCTCTCCAAATAACACTCGCCCTTATTGGGCTTTATAACTGTAGTGGTGGCCCAGCTGAGATCTGAGGATCTCCAAGTTCTTTTGTAAACACTCATTAACTGCCTGGGAAGAACCAAGAGCCCTGGTTAACAGCTGGGAGGGAACTGAGGCACGTTAGGGAGAAAGGCTTGACCTGAGCTCACCCCATGGACTCCACCCTGGGGCCTCCATCCTTCCTGTCTAGCTCCTTTCCTCAGTAATTCCTATAAGCGGGAGAAAGATGTGGGTGAAACACTGCTGCCCTCTCCCCTTCTAGGAAGAGGCCATACTTTCTCCCTGCCCTTGAATCTGTCCCTGACTACCTCCTGCCCCACAGAGTCCCTTCACCCCATGACACTTTCCCTGCTCTGCTGCTGCTGCTGCTGCTGGAGATGCATGCAATTCTCCTTGCAAAATACTCTCACTCCAGCCCTCTGCAGCCCTCCCATCCACCTTTCCCTGGCCCACCAAACCCAAACCCCAGTGCCTCTTTTTGAGGTACTTGGGAAAATCACCTATCCTAAACTGGGCCTGTAACCTTGAAGCTGATCTAATTGTGCTAAGAGGTCCCTCTGTCCCTTGTATTTATCCCAAATGGTAGCTGGGAAAATACTCTTTCTTTACTGAATTCATTCTGGTAAAGTTTCAGGATTAAGGGCTGGGCAGCGGCACTGGTTGACCCCTATGTGTTCTGAATCTCGCCCTTCTGCTGACAATTGCCATTTCTGGTGATAGGTGTAACCCAAAGCCCCCCAGCTCCACCTGCTCATACTCTCATCTGTATGTGCATGTCTGCCCACTTTAGCACACTCCCAGGTACACACACCCTAGCCAGGATATGAAACTACCAGTTTCCAACTGCTGTGGATGTCTCCTCGCCCTTTTACTTGTGGGGAAATCGCCCTCCCCTCCCCTGGGTGGCGTCCTAGGTACTTAGGAATAGTGGGGAGGGATGGGGAGATTGTGCTATGTCTCTGAGGGGTGGGATAGGAGTGAGCACCTGTCCAAAATGCATACCTCCATCCCCAAATTCTCAATGGCTAAGTGGCTTAACAGGAGTGGTAAGGAAGGAAATCTTAACCCCCATCTTCAACATCAAAGCCCAAATCATCTGCTAGGGGCAGGAAGGAAGAAATGTCCTTTTCCTCTTGTCAAATATTATCCTATCTTCAGCTAAAGTCATCCATGTGCTGTGTATTTGAGACTGAGGACTGTTCCGATCTCCAGCCCATGACTGAGACACCCTGCTTTCTCCCAGTGAGTTCCTTCTCCCCCCATCAGTCAGCTCTGCACCCGCTGACCCAGCCAGGGCTGGTGGAAGAGGGCGGGGAGAGCTTACTGTTTGGCGAGTGGCCTTTAGGACCCAACGGAAACCCGTGCCTCTTGCAGCAGCCTAACCCAGAAGCAGGGGGGAATCCTGAATCGAGCTGAGAGGGCTTCCCCGGTTCTCCTGGGAACCCCATCGCCCCCCTGCCAGCACACACCTGAGCAGGTAGGACCGCGCACTCCCTTCCCAATTCCCCCTCGGCCGCCTTCCGCCGGGCTTCTCCGCTGCTGATCTGGTCGTTTCCCTCTCGCCAGTTCAGGCTTTCCCCATCCCTCCTCCCCCACTGATCACTGTGGTCCGGGGAGGTGGGAGCCTGGGAACAGTGGGGTGTCTGAGAGCTCGGAGCCCCCCCGCACCCTGCAGCGCCCTTCCCGCGCTCACTCCCAGGCATTCCCCGATCTCAGGCTAAGAATGGAAAGTGGGGGGAAGGTCTGCCCAGGCCCCACGCCCTTGCACCCTTCTTTGCAGTATTGCCTAATCCCCCTTCCCCCACCTCACCTCGACAGGAGAATTTACAGTGCTGGGGTGATAGTGGAGGGAGCAGGAGAGGAACCAGAGCCTTCCAGGGGGATTTGTCTCTGGCTTCCTCCTGGCCTCCCCGCCCCAAGAGCTTGGGACTTTGGTTTGCCCCCAACTCCCTACTCACCTTGTAGAGGAACTAATACCCATTTCCAGATCTCACACTTAGGTGGCTAAAGGCTTTGCTGGAGGGTAGTGGAGGTTGTGAGCAGTTTTCGGTGACCTGTTCCTCTAGGGAAAGTTCTTTCATTCTTTCAGCTTAGAGCCCCCATCACTGCCAATACCTCAGCACCTATTGCAAAGAACCCCCCCAACTGTGTGTGTGTGTGTGTGTGTGTGTGTGTGTGTGTGTGTGTGTGTGT